GTGTTCAAATGTATTTTTTGGAGTCTCAAATATATTTTTGCATTCAAATACTTTTTTTTCTTTGATTGAAAAGTTTTTTTCATTGAAGTGAAGATTTTTTTTTTATTGAAAATATTTTTTTGATTGAAAAATGAAAAAAATAAATCTACCTTCATACCAGATCACCTTCTCTGATTGGTTGATGTGGCGCGTCGAGGAGCAAAAGTTCAGTTTTTCCATCTCAAGCAGCAGCGCGTCGTGCGCATCAGATGTTTAAATGCTCCCGACGCGCTGCTTCAGCTGCTCAAAACGCGCTGCGGGACATTTTGCTGCGCCTTGACGCGGGTCAACCATTGACTTTTTATGTAAACTAGCTGAATCTCATAAAGAATGTCAAAAAATGTGATATTGGTACAATCCCTTCTTTTAAGATGCGCATGGATTTCGGTTCAGAAGCATCTAAGTTCGACTCACTTCAGCGCTGTCAAATGTTTTTAAAGTGACCATGCAATCCAACAAACTTTTCTCCTCTTGTTCAAGGCGCTTTATCACCCAAAAACAAGGCAGATCATATCACCTCATTTCTTTTCTTTTATGCAACAACAACAATCAATATCGGTCAAAAACTGTATGGCTGCGTGCCTAAATCCAGGATCTCACCCCACCCCAATAGCCTACTCCAATATATACAGCTTGAATTATGCACAGCAGCAAAAATACAACTAAACAAATTAATTATTTCATAATTAAATAAACTCCTACTTCAAATTAAAGTATTTCATGTTCATATATGTCACCAAATCAAAAAAAAAAAATAGTAAACTAGAAATAATAAAATGTTCAATCATTTGGCTCCAGCATGTATGGAAGCAGGACAGTTCTGGATGCCTGTATTGGAATGTAACCATCATCTTGGTTTATTTTGTTTCTTTTTACTCTTTTCTGTGTGATCTAAAGTTCTCATACTGACTTCTTCTCCAGACAATCTCTTTGCTGGTTTACATGTTTGGAGCTCTGGGAAAGAAAGGCCCGTTTTTGGTGCTCAGCCCACTCTCTGTCATGGAGAACTGGAGAAAGGAGCTGGAGAGGTAAAGTCCTCCTGAGCTTTAGCCCCATCATCAGATGACTCGTATGAACCTGGGATAGATTAATGCAGTTTAAATTCATTGACAGCTTTGCCCCGTCTCTGACTCTGCTGAGCTACAAGGGAGACAAGGAGAGACGGGCTGAGATTCAGAGGGAGACGAACACACAAGCCTTCCATGTTCTGCTCACCACATACGAGGTCCGTGGCAGTTAGGTGAAGACAAAAATCACTAAAAGTTTGACATGAAATTAACATGTTAATGTTATAATCTGATTCCCAGCTGTGTCTCAAAGATGCTTCATTCTTGAAGAGGTTGGTGGATTCTCATCCTTTTCATGTATTATAGCTTGATTAAGGATTTAAAAAGACTTTATGCAGCATCACTTTGCAGATATGAAGATATCTTCAAACATTACAGGAGGGGTTAATCTACAAAGCCTACTTGTTTGACCTCTCAGCGACATGTCTCACCATGTTCCACTGTCATCAGGTTTTCTCCTGGCAACAGGTGTTTAGATGTTAACTTCTTCCTCAGGTGGAGCTGGCAGGTGCTTGTCGTAGACGAAGCTCACCGGCTGAAGAACCAAAACTCTTTGTTACACCAAACCCTGACCGAGGTGCTGCAATGCTCCTTGAAGGAAGCCTTCTTCTTATCACATTTCACTTAAACAGCAGCTTAGTTTATTTCTAATTTTATTATTTGTTTGTGTAGTTTACCGTTGGTTTCAGACTCCTGCTCACAGGGACTCCCATCCAGAACAACCTGAAGGAGCTCTACTCCCTGCTGAGCTTCATTCAACCCAACATCTTCACGCCCAACGAGACCGACAGCTTTGTCAGCTCTTACTCCAATCTAAAAAGCCAGCCTGCTCTGGGTATGGTAGGAAATTACTGTTTCATGTATGTGCAAAGCAAAGGTGTTTATTACTTTTTGCTACCTAAAGTCTGTTTTATTGGAATCAGGGGTGAAAGTGTTTTTTTAAATTCTTGCTAGTACCATCTATACAATTAGGCAAGGCAAGGTAAATTTATTTGTACAGCACAATTCAGTACAAAGACAATGCAAAGTGCTTTTCATGATTAAAATATTGGAAAAAAAACAGAATCAAAGCAAGTAGGAAAAAATAAATAAAAAATGCAGAAACAAAAAAAGAACATTAAACAGTTGGACTAAGGAAAATAAAAATGTTGAACTAATGATGTTTCAGTTGAACTGTTTTAACTAGAACAGTCGAAGGCAATTCTAAAGAAATGTGTTTTTAGTCTTGATATAAAGGAACTCAGGCTTTCCGCACTTTTACAGTTTTCTGGAAGTTTGTTCCATATAAGTGGAGCATAGGAACTAAATGCTGCTTCTCCATGTTTAGTTCTGGTTCTGGTAGGTATGCAGAGCAGGCTGGAGCCAGAAGACCTGAGTGGTCTGGAGGGTTGATACACTGATAGCAAGTCTGTGATGTATTTGGGTGCTAAGCCATTCAGAGATTTATTTATATATATATATATATATATATATATATATATATATATATATATTTTAGGGATGCACGATATTGGGATTTTGGCCGATATCCGATATGCCGATATTTTAAAACTCATGTAGCCGATAACCGATATCGATACCGATGTTAAAGCTGGACAAAAATAAGTAGTCATTGAAAACAGCAGTTTTGTTATCCATTTCTGACACTTTGAAAAATAATATACTCAAATATATTTTCATATGCTGATATCAAATTGATTTTTAAAAACGCGGTATCGATCTATTTTACTTTCAAAATCTCGTGAAATTTCATCGTTCTGTTACAAACTCTCGTGATATTTTGCAAATTCTTGTGAGATTTTGTTAGTAAAATGGCAACATTTGGTGAATTTTCGGGGGATTTCGTAGCATAACGATGACATATAGCAATATTTCATTAGTAAAATAGATTGATATGGTGTTTTTAAATGGCAATATATCAGCATATGAAGATATTGGGATATTTTAATGTATCAATATTTTTTCCCTCGTCTTTAGAAGTTTGTAAAAAAGAAGTTTTTGAGGAAGAAGAAGAAGTAGCTTTTTTTATTTTATTTTATTTTTTTTTAGACTTTAGAAACTCAGAAGCTGATCAAATATCGGGTTAAATATCGGTGGGGTGGCCGATGTCCGATGTCCGATATTCAGTTTTAAGGCCGATACAAGCCGATACCGATAGGGGGCCGATTATATCGTGCATCCCTAAAATAAATAAATATATATATATATATATATAAATAAATACAATTAAAAAGACCTGTCATCATTTATGAACACGCTTTAGTCCAGGGGTCAGCAGCCCAAACTGCTCAAAGAGCCATATTGGACCAGCTGAGCGGTGAGCTGATGTGGGGAACCACCAGGGAGGAGCTACAGAGCTAAAGCACTTCAGACAGATTGAAGCGAATGCATGTGAGATGTAAACGCTGTAGATTAATCTCACTGCGCACTCAAATTGGTAGCTATATGCTTAAGTCTGTGGCACAAAATAGCAGGCAACCGGTCCTTGCGGATCTGCATACTGCCACTAAAATCTTTACTGGTATGCAATACAGCGACGTTCTTGCTTACTTTGAGCCCTGATTGCAATTTATGTGATAAACCAACAAAAGGGATTAATGTCTCGCTCTAAGGAGAAACTCCACCTCAATCTTTAGCTTTTTGCATTTCAATCATAAAGTTTGATTTTGATTTAATCAGAATAAGGTAACATGATAGCCTGATAAACCAGACTAAATGTGAGATTAAATGTGTAATTTAGTCTGGCCCTGGTGAATGAGACATCGGAAGATTGCTGATGAGAAAAACCTGTTGTTTTCAAACCATGTCTGTGCCTATTGGCCAACGTTCTAAGCAATGAGACGTAGTAAGCGCGACAGAAAGCTGGTGGGGGAGTGTAAACAAACAGCCTGTCAGTGGAATGGCGAAAACGTCCTCCTTTAAAATGAATGAGCGTAGAGCCTCTTCCTGCTCACGTTTCAACGAAAACCCAAAGTCTAATCCTTTCAAAACCGATTCCAAAGCTGAGTCAACCGAGAACTGTTCAATAGTTTTTGCCATCTGCGTTGTTGTGCTTCCTCCAGCGTAGCGCAGCTTTGTTGTCTCTCCCTTAAAACCCCGCCCACTTTGCATCCAGAAATTCAAAACACATCTCTGCATTTTAAATGGCCCTGCCCTCTGGGGCATTGATCGAGACTAGTCCGCTCGCAGGCAAAAATGATTTTGGCCGCTGGCGGGTGGGGCTAGTAACTTTCACCAAATCTTTCCCTTTTTTTTTTTTTTTTTTTTTTTTTATTAAGGCAATTTTAAGAAATTGAATTCATTAAGCCACCCACAACCATCTGGGGTTCTCTGCAGCTCCTTTCCTCTCATTAATGTTGTCCTTGAACTACCTGTCAGTTCAGGTGGACCATAGCATCTTTAAATTGTCAGATGTTGCATTGAACATTGCATAGAGGGATGGCCAAGCAGATGCAAGTGATTTTAAAAAAAATTTTCACCTCTTTTTTGAAGTCTTTGTCTTCTCCATCCATGCAGAGAACCTCCTTAAACCAAGAAACTAGCACCTACTACTTTATTAAGTACACCTTGCTTGTTGGATCCTGTTTTGCATTCAGAACTGCCTTAATCGGGTGTGCAGTGTCCTAGTGGTTAGCGACAACGACCCATGTACGGAGGCCTTAGTCCTTGATGCGGCTGACTCAGGTTCAAATCCGGCCTGTGGTCCTTTGCCGCATGTCTCTCCCCCTCTCTCATACCCCCTTTCCTGTCAGCCTACTGTTGAACAAATGAGCCACTAGTGCCGCAAAAATAAAAAGAACTACCTTAATCCTTTGGGTTAAATTCACACCACACTTTTCAGTGTGAACCATAAGAAATGCCATGAATTACATTTTTTTCCACTTTATATTATGCACTACTTTGTGTTGGTTTATCACATAATAAAAAAAAAAAACGTGGAAATGTTTGAGGAGTTATTTGATCTACGAGGCATTCAAGTAGATGTGTTTAAAGTTCAATGAATGGTGCGTTTACTTCTTCCAGCTTCAGAGCTTCAAAGCGTCTTGGAGCCTTTTCTGCTCCGTAGAGTGAAGTCAGAGGTGGCTTTGGATCTGCCCAAGAAGACGGAGCTGGTGGTGTACCACGGCATGTCCGCTTTGCAGAAGAAATACTACAAGGCCAGTCTTATGAAAGATTACGGTGAGTCTCTTCGCTTTGAAGTTCACTAGAAAAAGTTTTTTTTTTTTTATTAGAACAAACAAAGCCAACATAACCATCTCTTTTTAAACATTTCAGAGGCATTTGCAAATGAACAAGGCAGCCAGAACAGGATGCTGAACATCTTAATGAATTTGAGAAAGTGTGTCGACCACCCGTATCTGTTTGATGGTGAGATGCGTGCAATGAAACGCACAGAGAGGCTGTAAAAGGTCGTATTGCGTCTAAATGATTTTGTCCCTTCTTCCTGTTTAGGGGTGGAACCAGAGCCCTTTCAGATCGGGGAACATCTCATAGAAGCCAGCGGAAAACTGTGCATCCTAGACAGCATCCTGGCCTTCCTGCACAAAGGGTGGGCACATCCTGCAATAATTATGATTTGGCTCCATCTAGTGGCGTTGCAGATCCTGTCTAATAACTATGCACTGCTGCTCTGGAGATCCACAAATATATAGTTGGATTCTCTTACATTGGTACATTATTTCCTTTCCATTTAGTTTGACATTTTTTAAAAGGTGAAGGAGAGCTGTCACATATAGATAACAGTTTACACTTGAAGAATAGATTGTTTGCAGCAAGATGAAGGCTTGATTGATTGAATGACTTTATTGATCTCACAGTGGAGACATATATTTGTCACCTCAAATAGTCAAAGAAAAAGAATGTGCCATAATGGAGCTTTAGAAGCTCTACATTCTCAGTTTTATGTAACATCTGCCTTTTATTTAATGAGAAAATTGCTGTTTTTTCTAAGTAGTAATGTACAAAGTGGCAGGAAATGTATAGGGGGAAAAAAATGTCAAATAATTAAAAACACAGGAGTAGTATTTACAAACCAAATCATTTCACTTCAACTTCTTTTTACACCAGATTAAAAACTTCACAGGGTTTCTGTGATACGGTTTGCAAAATGAGGAACAGGTAGACTTATATAGAAATCGTTGGAGCAAACCAGTCCGATGTCTTATAGACTCATTATTGTAAGATACAAAGAAATACAAGCTGGTCTACATCCCAACTCCCTGGCTACGGAGGTTGGGGTATCTCTCTCTTCAATAACTCTTTGAATAATGAGTCTTCTTAAGGAGGGTTTATTTTTTATTTTTTGAGTTTTGCGGCGCTAGTGGCTCGTTTTTTCAACAGTAGGCTGACAGGAAAGGGGGTATGAGAGAGTTGGAGAGACAGGCGGGAAAGGACCACAGGCCAGATTTGAACCCATCTCGCCCGCGTCGAGGACTAAAGCCCCCACCTGCATGCCCTTAAAGTATTGCTGTGGGTATGAGGGCTCCTGCAGAATATTTGAGAACCGTGTTAGCAGGCCTCAGTGGAGGCATGTGATCTAGATCCTTTAGACAAAATGCACCTCCAGTTTGGGGACTTTTTTTAAGTTTTATTGGATGGATGGTGTTAAACGCAGAGCTAAGACCCACAGCTAGCGCCCAGGTGTAGCTGTGCGATCTAAATGGTAGCTGCTATCAACTCCAAGCTAGCTCCAAATGTAAAACGGCTGAATATAAATTTGGTTCCTTGTGAGGCTCCTACTTCAGCTCTGATCCTTACCCCGGATATTTAGTGTCTAAATACGAAGAAATATTGAAGCCGGGAAGAAAAATCTGGAAACCTTCTTTCCGTCTCATTATTGATCTCTGTTTTGGATGAAGGGGCCACCGTGTCCTGTTGTTCTCTCAAATGAAGCGGATGCTGGATATTCTCCAGGACTATATGGAGTACAGAGGTAAGTGGGATGAAAACACACATCTCTCTCCATCCCCTCAGCACCATCTCACCCCGTCCTATCGCCGCTCTTCCTCCCATCCCCTAAAGATGCACCATGACGTTTGTTTCTGCTCAGGCTACAGCTACGAGCGTCTGGACGGGTCCGTTCGAGGGGAGGAACGAAACCTCGCTGTGAAGAACTTCAGCAGCCAGGATATCTTTGTGTTTTTACTCAGCACTAAAGCAGGTGACTTGAATTTATTTTAGTATCTGTTTTAAATACAGGATACACATGAGGTTTACTGATATTCTTCACATTTCAGTCTTTATTTTTTTCACAATTTTTACCTTTTTTTTTTTGTAAAGTGTACAACATTCCCTAAAAAGTATTCACAGTCCTGAAAGTTTCACTTTAGAACCTCTACTGATGCAGAACATCTATTTCAATAATTAAAACCCTTGCTGTGTGTTTAGGGCTTTTTTCTTTCTTAAAAGATAACCTCCACCCTAAATTGAAGCTTTTTTTTTTTTTTTTACAGGATTTCCTCCACAACTTCTATATATTTTGTTTTTTTAGATTTTTCCATCACCTTTAACCGTCCAGTCCATCTGACCGATCACATAGGTCACTGATATGCAGGGTGGGAATGCCTGACAGTTTAATATCCTGCAGAATATTGCAACAGCAAAGCAATCTTTGCTGTTGCTATTTTGCACATGCTGACGTGATTCAATAGGGTGTACAGCTGCAGTACGTGCGCAGAAGACACAGTCTGTGCCTTTTCTCTGTGATATTAGGAATTATGTATCCTTCTGTGTGGACTTTTTTTTTTTTGCTAGGAAATCTTTTCTGTAGTGGGTTTATAGAATAAGCAGAAATAGGAAGAGGGATGAATCAGGAAGAGAATAGATCTGCAGCAGAATGTTACTCTGATGTTGACGGCCAGCAGGTATTTGTTTTTTAAGCAAGGTGAAATGAGAGCAATTTCCTGTTGAAACTTTCCCTTTCAGCTTTATATAATCTAAAGTGAAGTTAAATTTAAACTTAAATGGAGTTTAAGCGAACGTCCCACTTTCTTGTTAAACGTTTTCCAGTTTCCAGATTTTCTCTCTGCTTTTCATCCATTTAGTCATTTTTTTGACAATAGTCTATGATTCTAACAAACATACGAGGACAGAATGTGGATTCTGCGTTCAAATAGATCAACATGGAAGTGGAGTATCCATCACTGTCCTTTTCAGGTGGCGTTGGCCTCAACCTCACAGCTGCTGACACAGCTATATTCGTGGATACCGACTTCAATCCTCAGAACGACCTTCAGGCTGCAGCTCGCTGTCATCGGATTGGCCAGAACAGGTGATGCCCCTCCCCCTTCTGATTACTGGAATTGAAACATTTTACCCTACGTAGGAAAGACGTCCCTATTTTTACACGCAGCTCTTTCGGAAGTGTGACGAAGTAAAGCTGCTGATGGCATTAAGGTTATCTGTAGCTGCCAGGAGCTTTATCTCCTGCTGGTTGTTCAGAAGCTCTTCCTGTTTGCACTGCATTGTTGAGCTCTAACTGCACTGCTGCACCCAGGATGGAAACCACTAGAAACATCCTCCCAACTGAAGGAAAACTAATCCAAATCTGTTCAGTTTATGTTTCTATGGCAGAATAATTATCCAGGCATTTTTACTGGGAGCATATTTAGGATTATTTAATGGTAAATGTGGTTTAGGATTAAAGATTTTGCAGTTTATGACTAAAAAAGTGCTGTATAACTCTGTTTTTTTCCTTTTTTTTACCTTGAAAAGCAGTGCTGGGTGGTACAGACTTTTTAAAGCTTAATGCCAATGTTTTTCTTTTCATAAATATGCTGGTGAAGATTCTCAGTCATCCAGGTAATCATCATTCCAAAAAAAGAAAGTTAAAAACGATCCATTGGACTTTGTGTCCGAGTTTGAAGATGTTTCGCTTCCCATCCAGGATGCTTTTTCAAATCAAAATGTCAGGAATAGCGTTGAGTTCGAGGTTTTATACGGTAGCCCAACAAAGCCTTGTTTTTGTTTTGAAATAAAGCAAATTGAAACGGACGAAGGGGTCCGATCCTTTGGAATCGGGGTCGTTTGGCTTTTTTTATTAGCCTGCAATGAAAACAAAAGGACCCAAACGACCCCCAGTCCAAAGGGGTGGACCCCTTCATCAATTTCAATGTTTTCAAAAACCAAACAAGGTTTTCATGGGCTTCTGTAAAAAGCCTCAAACTCAATGCTATTCATGACATTTTGAATTGAAAAAACTTGAATTTGAATAGAAAAAGCTTCCTGGATGGGAAGCGAAACATCTTCAAACTTGGAAACAAAGTCGAGTGGATTGTTTTTAATTTTCTTGTTTTTGGAATTACGAGTTGGATGACTGAGAATCTTCACTATCATGCTGTATAACTCTGTTTCTGTTTTCCTTTTGTTTTTGTTTTTTACCTTAAAAAGCAGGGCTGGGTGGTACAGACTAAAAGATATCTTGATATTTTAAAGCTTAATGCCAATATTCAATATTCATACCAACATGTTTTTCTTTTCATAACATAATTTAAAAACATCACTGTCACCCCAAATGTCACAAAGGCACACTATTTAACAAATTATTGATAAAAAAAGAGAAATTTTTAAGAAATATAACCTGGTGGCATATGTAAAAGTATAAATTATGTAATGTTGTCGTATTTCTTTTTAAAAATGATTGATTTTATTTTATTTTTTTCAGATTAGGTTTCCCAGCCCTATGACATAACCTGCTGTTTCATTTAAAGTCCCATCAGGTTGAGGAAACTCTGTATGTTTGTCTCAATAATTTGGGAGAAAAAGCTTTTGTCACTTTTTGCTTTGACTCTTTTATTGAGATTTTCTTTATTTTCCATACTGTATAAATATATCAGCTTGATAATGTAAATACTCAGCTACTACTGAACTGAAAAATTAAGAAAACAGTTTGCTGCCCTGCAGAGAGTCTGGGGAAGTGATGTTAAAGACCACTACATAAAAGTTAAGTGTTTAGCAAAATAAAAAAAAAAAACAGTCGTCAAAGACTAATCCTCTGAAACTGCAGATCTTGAACTTCTACATTCCTGTTTAATATTCGGTTGCAGGGAGCCTGTGATGTAAAACCTTTCACAGGTAGACTGCATTCCTCCCTCTTTACATTTTTAGGATTAGGAGGAAATGGCAAAAACTGACGAGTGGCAGGGTTCCTGTGCATGCCTGAAACGTAAAAAGTTTGTTTTGTAATGTTTAAAATTCTGGAAAACACTGGTTTGAAAAGAAATTGGCTTTGGATAAATGTTACATTTTCATTAACCTTTTTTTTTCTTATTTTATCTAACAAAGGTGTTACAAACTCTGAGCTAAAGATTTTGCATTTAGTTTAAGTTTCTTCATTACTTATTTGAAAAATGTCTGAGCAGCTTTTATATAAGAAACGCGATGCCCTCTTCCTGTTTTATTAACCAGGGAACCAAAAGATTAACCTTACCAGGCAGACTTAACTATTCTGCAGGTTTGCAGGATTCATAAAAATAAATCCTTAAAAAAGCCTTGAAATTATTGTCTGGAAAAGTTTGGACCCTGATCATATCTAACCAGGCATGTGGCTTTTAACACGTTAAACAAAGAATACTTTGAATCCAAAGGAGAACCAGACACTCTGGAAAGCATTTTATCTTTACTCAGGTTTAGGTCATCTGGTTTAGGTCTAATGAATAGAGAGAACAAGTGGACCAGGCCACCATGATAGAATATTAAAACAACCTCTATAGTATATTATTTATAAATGATTGTCTCCTCTCACATGCCTTTTAATGCCCATTTAACCTTTTGAGAACTGTGACATATTCCAGGCCCGTGAAAGTCATCCGCCTCCTCGCCAGAGACACCGTGGAGGAGATCATGTACTCCAGAGCCGTCTCTAAGCTGCAGCTCACCAACACCGTCATCGAAGAGGGACGCTTCTCCCTGATGGATCAGGCTCAGTCGGCTGCAGCAGGCCTGAAGGTCGGCGACCTTCGCCACATACACCCCCGCCCCGCCTCCAGAGTTTGATCAATTTCTCTTTTTCATTTCCCCTCAACAGCTGAGTGAGATCTTGAAGTTTGGAGTAGATAAGCTTTTATCATCTGATGAGAGCTCGATAGAGGAGGTAAAGCTGGAGAAGATCCTCGGCCCGTCGAGGGAGGGTCAGTGGGTGGACGATGACGAGGAATTATCTCCACTGAGAGTAGATGAAGAGGAGATGGAGAAGGGGTCTGATTCTGAGGAGCAGAGTACGCCATTTTTAATCTAATGAGTCTGCTTCACTTTCCTTCTATTTGGTTTCGATTTTGTACCTCAGCACATCTCCTACTGCCAATGAGACTGTTTTCCTTTTATTAATGAGGGATCAGCCTCTTTTTTTTCTGCCGTTCATGTTCCAGTCTCCTGGGTGGGCTAACCCCGCCTTCGTATCGTCTCGTCTTGTAGATCACATGTACGTCTTTGAAGGGAAAGACTACAGCAAGGACCCGAGCTCAGAGGACCAGAAGAGCTTCGATCGGCTGCTGGAAGAGCAGATGGCCGAGTTTAAGAAGGCAGCAGGAGAGGGACGAGCTCTGCGCCAAAAAGCCGGAGTAAGACTCTACCACTTTCATTTCCAAATAAGAAGAAGGTTTACAGATATTTGTGGTTTTTTTAAAAGTTGGGAGTTTTTTTGGGTTTTTTTTTTGGTCTGGATTAGTTTGAATAGATATTTGTAAATACTTTTTTTTTTCTTTTTTTTACTATAATTCCCTCCTCAAAGTATTTCTTTAACCTTTTCCCTTTTCAAAAATGGACCACTAAAGAAAACCTGGATTAAATTTCTTATATCACTCTAGGCATATATATGATGAAATATTCCATTTGCCATTGCAGTCTCAGAGGTGTGTAGAGTCCCTTAAAGTTTTACTTATGTAGCTCTTTTCTAATATGTTCTTAATCAAGTAAATGTAAAAAGAATAAAGAAGTAGCTGGATAAAATGCCCACCTAGGTACAGAGTAACTGTTGGCTTGTAACATCTGATTTAATGGTTAAAATTCAGTAATCAGACAGAGTTATTCGCAAATTCCATTTGTTTTAAGTGTCAAATTTAGTGCTGCAGCGATACCAGTATCAGCCGGGGCGCCGATCCAGCACTAAAATAGTGGTATCGGTATCAGCGAGTACCAACAAATAGGGCACCGATACCTTTTTGAGAGCTAAAAGTTTATTCAACTATTGTCACCCATTCCAGGTAGGCAATAAAAAGTTCTACTGGATTCACTTTGTTTTAGTCTTTTTCCTGCTTCACAAAGGTAGGCAGCAGCTTCAAAAATTAATTTACATCCAAGTATAAGTAAGTTCTTCATATACACACACACATCCATTTCAAAAAGATGGCATCAGTATCGGCCAATACTCCACAGCCAGGTATCTGTATCAGGGCCAAAAAGTGGCATCAGCGCAACACTAGTCAAAGTAGAAAATATACAAATAAATAAATTCAGACAGTAGAATTTTTCTAGATCAATAGTTTCAACATAAATGTATAAAACCAACCTTTAAGGTAAGGCACACGTGTCAGGAAAGGATAAGGAACCATTGGGAACAATATCCACTGTTGAGTAACTGTTTAAGTTACACGTGGGGGAAAGAATAACCTGCAATTTTTGCTCAAATTATCAGTGTTAGTCTCACAGCAATATAATTAAAGTGAAAGGAAAACGTATGGTGAAGTAGAACAAAAATAATAAATCCCAGCCCTTCTGATCATTAGGTTCTTGTATAGGAAAGCGGAACAAAGTCAGAGACATTTCATGCCTGGAATCACATTTTCAAGACCTAAACTTTAGCTGAAAAAATGAGGCGTTGCCGTCTTTTTGAAGATTAAGTATTAAAAGCGCTCTACCTCGCATCCCCCTTTCACATTGTGCAGACATTTTATGATTCATGCAAAATACAAGATGCGTGTATTTTTTATGAAAGATTAACATCAGATAAAATCTCAAAGTGATTTGTGCATTATATAGGACCTTTAAATTATTTGGGCTAGTTAGTATTTATTAATAAAAACTGATATCAATTCATGTGTTACTGTAATAATTTAGAAAAATCCAGATGTTCCATGAAAAGAATGTAAATATCCCATAAACTGTAAACAATCCTTTCCATATCTGTTCTAACTTCATATCTTCATAAACAGAAAATATTTGTCCCTGTTGGTCTGAAGTTGAAGAGCAATAAAACCAAAGAAGGAGTTTCACATTTTCGCCTGTTTAAGTCATTTTAGCTGAAGTATGTAGCAGTGAATTAAGTCACGTTTTTACCTTTGGTTAGAGTGCAAAGAAAATGCATTCTCTGCTCCCGCTTTGGGTCCAGGGTGTCGGTTTCCTGCTTGGACTAATATGGCTGAAATAGCTGATTGTTGCAGATATGACTGATTTTTACCTGTTGATCTGATGTGAAACCTGGAGGTTTGCTCTACTTTTCCCGCCACAGATGCATAAAATGTGATCATTTTCCTTTAGTGCAAATCTCAACATGTTTTGACCCAGTTAACACAAATTAGTTGCAAAGGAAATGAGATTTGTGAACTAATCAAATAACCAAAGCTGACTGGCAAAAAAAAGCAAAACCAAAAAACAAATATCAGTTTGGTCTCATGACCCAAATATTGTTCAACCATATTTTAAAATCCTTCGTTGTTTTATGAGGGTAAATTAAGGCCTTAATTGGCCTTAATTTAAACAATAATTAAGGCCTTAATTGACATTAAAATTCATTAAATGTGTTTATTGTGGCATTTACCGTAAAATGCTTTATTAAAAAAAATGTTTATAAAAACAATGTTGTCAGACATATTATATCAAGAAATATTTGTGTGAAACTGCTTCCGGTTGATCGCAAAGCTGTATGTTCAGAAAAGAAGCTTGAGTTGGAGATAAAGCTAGAGAATGGGGGGAAAAAGAAAAGTTCAACAAAAGTGGTTGAAAAACGAGGAATTCGGGACATAGCTACAGCCTGTCGACGGGTACCTGTTAGTGGCATTAAAATTATTTCTAAGAGCATTAAAAGAGCAGGCCAGGAATCCGCTTTCCTTAATACGGAGAAGCAGGTATGCAAAGTTTGTTTTTGTCATTCTTAAAATCCACAAGGTCGTGTATTTTAGAGCTGTAAAATAAATTTTAATAAGTTGGTTTCAGACCCTTTTCTGTTCATCTTCCGCTAAGGCATATAAACCGCAAAGCAATCATGACCCAGAAGCATCACTGAAACCAAACAGTACAGCAGAAAGGTGAAATGAAAAGTGAAACGCAAAGCATGGTGCACACAGTCATAAGCCATCATCCAAAACTTTGAACAGAGAACTGTTTCCTCCAACATCTGAAATAAAATCCTAATAAGTCCAGTTAGCAGTGGGAGACGCAGCAAATGTGTGAAACAAGGGAAACAAAAAAAAATCCCTAAGCCAGTGTTTCCCAACCTTTTTTGCCATGTTTACCCCTTTGTGCATTTTGTCTTACCATGAGTTCCCCTCTCAGTCAAAAGAATTGATGATTTTTCAAAAGTGAACAATAAGTGATTATAAAATAAAAACTATTTTCTTAATATTTTAATTTTAGCATTTCAATCTTTTTATTTTATGGTTTCCATCTCAAATGAAAAAGTATGTTGCTTAGAAGTTAGTAAGTAACCGAATTAAATGCAAAATAAAATCATATTATAAACCTGTATTTACAAAACTGCAGCTCCTCTGAGTAACTCCCCTATAATCACATTTAAACTTGATGAATTGGGAATAAAATACAGAGCAAAGATTATAGTCAGACTGACTTAATTAGTTTTACTTTGTTTTCATCAAGACACCTGAGTGTGAAAATCAGCTGATCCCAGGCTGTTCTCTGCCTCCACTTTGTTCCTCTGCTTGGTACGGTCTGTGTCAAAGCTGAACTCAAACTGAAAAAAAACGTACTTTTGCTTGGTAAAAGCTTGTTTAAATTTTGAATTGGATCCTTACAAAGCAAAACAGATCCCAGCCCTATTTTATTTTTCTACCTAAGAAATAAAATATTTTCATGTACCCCTTGCAATCCCCTCGCGGACCACTAGGGGTACGAGTAGGGTTGGGAATTGAAAAGATTTTCACGATTCCGATTCCCTTTTCGATTCTATGAAACGATTCGATTCATAATCGATTCTTTTTTCGATTACAATTTGGGGGAAAAAAGAGAACAAACAGTTTGATTATCAGCATCAACTTTGTTTACTTAACTATTGCACAATCTTACAAACTCAACAAGATCAAGATGTCCACAGGAAATGTGAAACTGGAGTAACATCCGTGTTTAAATGAAAAATGAATACAAGAACAAACTTAATAACCAACAATGTCTAATAAAAAATTATGGGATAATAACCTATTTTAAATAACAAAAAATACAAATTATAAAACAGTAGTAGGGAAAATTAACACTTCTTTTGCAGAAAGATGAGCATATCTGCTTTTTCTGGAAGGATACGGGATCTTTCAGGGCTTATGGTGTCTCCAGCCGTGGAGAACACCCTCTCAGATGGGGTGGAGGAAGCCTGCACACAGAGGTAGTTTTCAGCCAGTCCAGATAGCAAGGGCAGCGTATCTTGCTTGTTCCACCACCACAGTGTGGCGCTATCCCTGCAGGGGATGGAGGGCAAGCTTTTATAGAGCTGGATTTCCTGATCTACCCTCTGGGCTAAGGAAAGACGGGGCTTTGATTCACAAAATGACCGCAGCTCGTCGTCTTCCTCCTCGAATTGTTCTTCCAACTTGCGTAACTTACGTAACTTGTGTAACTTACGTAAAAAACGTGACGTAAGTCGTGCTCCCCAGAGCCGGCGCTCTAGGCTCTGGTGCTGCGGGAATCGAAAAAAGAATCGTTCAGCGAGCTGCCAAACGATGCCATGGAATCGGAAAATACGGAACCGGTTCTTAACAGGAACCGGTTTTCGATTTCCATCCCTAGGTACGAGTACCCCCTGTAGGGACTCTCTGCCCTAAGCCACCATCCTTATGATGAAATGTGGCGGTAGAGTCTTGGGAGGCAATATGGAGCCTGTCCTTCTATGATAATCAGTTACGAGACTAACAAGGCAGAGGTTCACCTGTCAGGATGCTGGTAACCTTGAGCTATAACTGAGTGGTTTAAAGTAGATTCATGGATTAAATCAGTCAAAGTCCAGACATAAAAGCCAAAGGCTCTATACACTCCATTTATAAAGATTCTTCAGTTAAAAAATAGTGAATACCCAATAGTTGTGTCTAAGGTGAAAAGTAGACAAAAGTTGGAACAAAGGATTGTAGTAAATGCAGAATATGTGTGTATATGTCTTTGTCATACTGTCTACAACATCGAAAATAGACGTTTTACTGTACTTTTCTTTACTTTTTTGGGTTTTAAATAAAAAAAAAAGGTGAGGAGGATTTATTTGGTCACGATTCTCCAATTCTCTCTTTGCGTTTCCAGGTTTTGCTCCCGGTTGCCTTAGCGATTCCAGCAAGAAAGAGGAAACCTCTCACCGAGGCAGAGCTGGAGCTCAGACGGCAAAGGAGGCAGGAGGCTGCAGCCAAGAAAGCCAAAATGATGGAGGACAAAAAGAAGGAGCAGCAAGAGGAAAAGCACAGAAAAAAGTGATAACTTGCTGCTGTTCAATAATGCTGTCTGATGTTGTGTTTTATTATTCATGCATTGGTTTGTTACTGGTGATTCATCCAGAATGGCCTGGTGGGAGTCTTGCGGCTATAGGTCGCTTTGCCTGCAGCCTGTGGACAGTGAAGAAGAGGAGAGGAACGAAGATGAAGAGGACGACAGCAGTGTTTGCTCCACAGACTCAAACACTACGGATATCTGCTATGTTCTTGGGGACGTTACCCATCCCCACACTGCTAAGGGAGATGCTGTTATTGTCCACTGTGTTGGTAAGTGCTCCATTTAAGCGTAAGAACATTTAATGCTTTTCATGAAATCTACTCGGTGCATCTTCTGCTACCTTTTCTCTCATCTGTACGTTAATTTCTGTCAAGATGACTCGGGCCGATGGGGCAGAGGAGGCCTCTTTACAGCACTGGAGTTGAGGTCAGATGAACCACGAAAGCAGTACGAGTTGGCAGGAAGGATGAAAGGTAAGAATCACTCAGTTCAAAAGAACAACAAGCAACAATTCAACTAGATATCTTTATTGGTGGTCTGGTGTAGATTAATAGAATTAAGTAGAATTAATTACAAATCTGTTCTTCAGATTTGGAGCTAGGAAATGTGTTCCTCTTCCCCATCGATGACAAGCAGTCGAGAATGAACGGCAGAGATCAGGTACTTTCTGTTCACAGAATGATCTGTGCTTTCCTGCTTGGAAATGCACGCTTCTTTTTCTTCTTTTTTCTTCTTTTTTTTTTTTTTTTTTGCAATATGCACGAAAAACTTTGCAGAATTGAACATAATCAGCACAATGCACCTTGTTAGGGTTGCTGTGTGGTTGCAGACTTGCAGAGTCGATCAGATAATAAGTTAACCTGCTTCAATCTCCTTCCCGTCACCCCAGCTAGCCCTGATAGTGGCGCAGCAGAGAGACAAAGCCAACAACCTGTCTGGGATCCTCCTTAGTGCTTTGGAAGAAGGACTGAAGAGGATTTACTCTGCAGCCAAGAGAGACGGTGGTATGGAGAGGCACAGCACTATGAAGCCGTGCAACACAAAGCTAAAGTCTGCACTCATTTGTCTGTTAGCATGTTGGAAAAACTCATGTTAAGCTGGTGTTTGCGGTACATCAAATGATTTATGTCTTTCTAGAATGGTTGATACTTGTTATGCTTGAACATTCTCAATAGTTTTTTCTGGATTTTCTACTTTACAGTCTCACTTTTTCATTTTAGTTTTTGTTTACATTTAAAGATTAACAGGTCTTCTAGGAAGGACATTTTAGCGTCTGGTGAAAGCCCCCTAGAGGGCAGATTACAATGAATAAAATCAGTGAGTAGAACAATCCATTACAGTTTCAGGCATTTAGCCTGAAGTGCCTAAGCACTGAAAAACAGGCCTAACTGTATCATAATATAAGTTTTTGACCTCAGCAGCTGATGCCTCCATATGATGAGGAAAATCTGATAGATCATAGAATTAGTGTTTGAACTACAGTAGCAAACAATGCAACACCGATGAGTAGAAGATAGCATAGTGAGGAAAAGTTGTCCCTATGTCCTCCTGCAGTCTTAGCCCATAGCAGCATCACTATAATGATGGCTCAGATAACCTGAGCCACTCTACGTTATCAAAAAGGAAGGTGAAAGGTACTAAAGATGGCATTTGTGCCAATGTGTTGCAGAGTTGGTTACTAGTGCTTGGATGTATATTACTTAAGATTTAGACTTGCTCTATCTTTCTGTTTAGCCAGCGTTCATCTTCCTCGCATCGGTCACTCCACCAAAGGTTTCAACTGGTATGGCACAGAGAGGCTCATCAGAAAGCACCTAGCTTCCAGGGGCATCCCCACTTTCATGTATCCTTTATGTCTCCTAGCTGAAGCCCATACAGAGCACCCTATGAGAGAATTGCTGAAATGATTTCCCCTTAACCTGAATGACAGATATTATCACAGCAGAATCGTCAAGAAAACAGCTTCACCTCAGGTGCCTAATACATCAACCGCTGCCTCTAAAGCACCTTTATTGAGCTCAGGCGGGCCAGATGATGAGGCGGAAACAGAGGCCCCAGGACCCTCAAATCCACAACATAGCTTCAGCCCGGCAGAGCTCCCCAGCTTCATGAAGGGGGTCAGAGTATTTTTCTACAACATTTCTGCATCACAACGGAAGAAGCTGGCCCGCTACCTTATGACATATCCTTTCAAACTTCTTTTTTCAAACTCTTGTGTGTTAAAAAAAGTCTCTGTATTAGCCAGTTTCAGTAAATGTGTTTTCTATAGAGTGTGAGCAAGCCTTAGCTGCGGTGTACGTATGATGGAGATGAGGAAGACATTATGAGTGAAGAGGTCACCCACATTGTTGCAGAGGTGGAGAACCACATCCAGAAACAGGTTGGCATCTACTCAGTCTTTTCTGTCACTTATCCAAATTTTACTACACAGTACCATAGAGAAGGTTTCACACCCCTTCCATCTTTTTAGATGTTGTTGGATTGGAGCCGTCATCTTGAAAATATTCTTTGAAATCTGTGCGATAAATAGTAGGTAATCATCAAAAGATAGAAAATTTTTTTTTTATGGTGAATAAAAGTTAAAAGTGTAGTGTTTATTTGAAATGGTCTATAGAAATAGAAAAAAAAATATATATATATATATATATAATATGTGCAAAGACCCACTGGCCATTGAAAGCCCGCCTCTGACTCGGTTCCGTGAACCCCGCCACCGGAGCCCATACTGTGTCGTCACTAGGGGTGGGTATTGCCAAAGAAGTCACGATGCGATTCTATCACAATGCATCACGATCCTTGAATTATTGCGACGCATTGCAATATTTTCTCCTCCATGTTTTTTTTTTTAATTGACTCGGCGCAGTACCCCGAGGCCGGAAATGCTTGTGACACAAGGCAGCGTGCGTCAACACATCCACAGCGACATCTACTGGACTGGAAGTTGTATTACACTTTTTTTTGGCTGATGTTCGCCAACCATTCATGCAATTTTATTTATGAATTTTTTTTTATTAATAATCGATACTTGGCATCAAGAATCGATGCAGTAGATCACAAAAATTAGAATCACGATGCATCATCATGACGATTATTTTGCACACCACTAGTCGTCACTGGATGACGGAGGTAGTCGTCATCTTGCACTCTTGCAGCTGTCTCTGCCCTGCGCACTCAAGGGTTACTGCCCTCTCAAGGGTTCCTGCAGTTTCAAAGGGACCTGCACTCACAAGGTTCCTGTGCTCTTCCAGCACTCAAAGATTTTCCGTGCTCACAAGGGTCCTGCTCGCTCACAGGGATAGTGCGCTCACAAGGTTCCTGCACACTCACAAGGTTCCTTCTCTCTCTCAAGGTTCCTAACTGCTCAAAAGTTCCAGCACTTTCAAAGGTCCCTAAGCTCACACAAGGTCCCTTTGCTCACAAAGTTCCTACGCTCTCAAAGGGTTCTGTGCTCACAAGGGCCCTGCAGACTCAACATTCCTAGGCCCTCCCCGCGCACTTTAGTTCCTGAGCCCTTCTGGCACTCTTTAGTTCCTGAGCCCTTCTGGCACCCTTTAGTTCCTGAGCCCTCCCGGCGCTCTTTAGTTCCTGAGCCCTCCCGGTGCCCTTTAGTTCCTGAGCCCTCCCAGCGCTCTGTAGTTCCTGAGCCCTCCCGGGGCACTTTAGTTCCTGAGCCCTCCCAGCGCTCTGTAGTTCCTGAGCCCTCCCGGGGCTCTTTAGTTCCTGAGCCCTCCCGGCGCACTGTAGTTCCTGAGCCCTCCCGGCGCCCTTTAGTTCCTGAGCCCTCCTGGCGCTCTTCAGTTCCTGAGCCCTCCCGGCGCTCTTTAGTTCCTGAGCCCTCCTGGCGCCCTTTAGTTCCTGAGCCCTCCTGGCGCTCTTCAGTTCCTGAGCCCTCTCAGCGCACTGTAGTTCCTGAGCCCTCTCAGCACTCTGTAGTTCCTGAGCCCTCCCGGCGCCCTTTAGTTCCTGAGCCCTCCCGGCGCTCTTTAGTTCCTGAGCCCTCCCGGCGCTCTTTAGTTCCTGAGCCCTCCCGG